TGGGGGTCTGGGGCTGCACTCCCCCCCTCCCCCCCTCCCCCCCCCGTGTGTCCCCTGGCTGTAACACTTATTTATTACAGTAGAAAAACAGGAAGTGGAAGAAAATAAAGAGGTTTTTATTTTTTATTTCAGTGATCGTGTTAAAAAAAAGTTAGTTTTGTTTATATTTCTTTTTATTTTCTTAAATTTGTTGTGGGTTTATTTGTTGTTTGTTGTTGTTTGTTGTTGTTTGTTTGTTGTTGTTTGTTGTTGTTGTTTTTTTCAGACTGGAGTCGTTCAAACAAAGAAGAAAGGAAAGTGTAGGAATGTTCTCCTTTGTTCTGGGGTGGATTAATGAACTGCCCTGGAGCCCTGGGCATAACCATACAGGGGGGTGGGGTGTGTGTGTGTGTGTGTGTGTGTGTGATAATGGGAGGGGGGCTGCCTCTAGTGGTCCGTGCAGGAATACCTGGTAATTGATGTGGTTTTCTTATCCCTGTTAGTCTTTAGTTTGTCCTGGTTGAAGGTTTGGTCTGTGTTGGAGGGGAGGGTCTGTCTCACCTGGTCTGTGGTCCGTTCAGCCACTGAAGTCAGTTTCACTTTGGTATGGTTCAGGATGAAGCTGGACTTCTCTGTGGTTCTTCTCCTGTTCTTCTCCTGTTCTTCTTTGTTCTGACCCGGTTCCTCCAGTTCTGGTCCGACTGCAGACTCGTCACGTTTGGACCAAACCTTCGTGCACGACTGCACATCAGACGTCGACTCTGGATTAATCATCTGAATTATTTAAAATCATCCAGCTGTGGGTCTGCAGAGGCTGTTGTGTTTCTGCCCCCCCCCTCCCCTCTCTCACCCCCCCCCCGTGTTACCTCTGTGTCTGTACTGCGGTCTGTGGCCGACTCTGGTCAGGACTTCAGTCAAATCACTGACTGGATTTCCTCCGTCCTCTTTTTTCTTCCTTTTCCTCCGACCTACGACATTCCCTTGTTCTTCAGAGAGGGGGGAGGGACGAACGGATGGGTGAGGGTATATGGCTGAGAGGGGGGGGGGAGACCCCTGGGACAGACGTCCACCGTGCTGGAGAGCATAATGGCCTCATAACAGGCAGAACTCTCATCTCCACCATAGG